TGGTACTCATGCTAACCACCCTGACATGACGTCATGCTCTTCACTAGGGTACTTGGGGGTTTGATGGATGCTCACTGACCCCTTGGGGGTGACATCATAGTTGTAGGGTCTTGACAAGGTGGTCTACCATGTGATGATATACAGGGCTGACCACCTAGAAACTTGATGACCTTGTCTACCATGTACTATGCATAACTACTCACGAGACCTAGCACGCCTGCTCTGCTTGGGTACTTGAGAGGTGAGTGTCAAAGCAATGCCGACACCAACTCTCCTTGCACGGCATCATGCTTGACACCCTAGTGTTTGGTATCCGGTGCTCCTTGGACGGTATCATGCATGACCCCCCTTGGATGATGTCATGCTTGACCCCTCTTGTGGTTGGATCTCCATACTTAGCCAATTTTCACCTTATTTTGCCGCATCACGTCTAGGGGTACTCGTGATAGCTTTCTTTGCACGACATCATGCTTGACACCCTAGCGCAAGGTAGGTAGGCGGCATAGTGCTTGACACCCCCCCCCCCCCCCCCGGGGATGATGTCATGCTTGACCCCCCTTGTGCTGTGGGTCTCAACACTTAGCCAATACTCTCGATGACCCCCTTGCACGAAATGTACTTTACCCCCCTGGACGATGTCATCCTTGACCCCCCTTGTACGATGTCATGCATGACCCCCCTTGTGGTTGGGTCTCCATACTTAGTCAAATTTTGCCCTCACCATGCCGACTTGGGTGGTTGATGTTGAAGGGTCTCCATACTTAGTCAAATTTTGCCCTCACCATGCCGACTTGGGTGGTTGATGTTGAAGGGTGTCAACGCTTGGCTCTTGACCCCTCTTGCGTGATGGGTGGGTGTTTGGTGGGTCAAGTGGTGTGTGTTGAGGTACCTGGTATGAAGCCCAAAATACCATTATTTAGGCCCAGCTTAAACCAATTTAATTAATATGGTTAAGTTGGCCTTATAAATCACTACCACTCCTTGAAAATAATCAATGTGGTATTGAGTAATCTTTTAGTAGTAAACAAGTTGATAAACAGAAAGTCAATTCTTTATCAAAGTGTTCCCTAGTAATATATATAATTATCTTTGCATCCTCTCGTTGTATTCAAATTTTCAGTTTAATACAATCTATTAATAATTAAAATATTTTTAACTCTTGTATTTTTCTTAGGGCTGGAAGTTTGGTTCCAATATTTGGGAGATACTAAATATCATACCGAATTATCATTGTTTAGCATTACTGAACACCGATTTATTTCTAGAGATTGGATTGAGATCAATTTTTAAGTGTTATTTAGTATTCGTGATTACAAGATTGAGATCACCATATCGAAATATCGAGAAACAACAAAAATTTAAAAGTAATTAACTCACAAGCCTACCCCCTCCCCGCCACCCAATCCAATCCAATATTCGATTTGCAATTTAAGTCAATCTCATCTCTCACTCAATCTCTTTTTATTTTCATGACACAAGAAGCATACACTATCATTAGTTGTCTCTCAACCTCCAATCCATAAAATTAAATATTTACTAATGACAAGAAATTGAGATTTCACCATCTTCTCCCTTCGCCCTTCTCCTTATCCATGTCCTTGTTCTAGACTAACTCAACACCCTTTGCATAGTCTCTTTGCGCTAAATGGAAACCTATAATGAATCAATTTAACAGAGACTTAATTGAATTCAATCAATGATGACTTCGATTAGTTTTCATTGGGATTTTCACACCTCGGATTCTCATAATCAAAATTTTCAATCACGAAATTAAAACTACAAATCTACACTATATAAAATTCTTGGGATTAGGGGTGTTCTAACCATTATTTATTTATTTATATATTTGATTATTAAGTGCAAATGAAATTTATTTCGTATTTGAGAATACCGATTGGGAATACCAAAATATTTTGGTATTGGAAATGAGATACCAAATTTATTTTAGAATTGAAATTGATTTCGAAATGATCAATACTCAAATATCGCTTGATGGATCCCAAATCCAGTAAGCCAGGTCCGCAAGCCTCCCTCCGGATGGAAACCTAGATCGAGTACTTTAGGATATCCTTGTAGCCGATAATCAGCAAGCTATAACTATATATGATATGTAAGTCAAAGACTATAGGCTTCACAAAAAACCTGCAAAGATGAACCTTATGTCCACTTGAATGTCTCTAGACCAGAGAGAGTACTCCTCTCCATTTCCACAGCTGCAATGGATGAACTGCATGTGCTCTCATTATGGTACCAGGACTAGCCTCGGACAGCCCTGCACGATTGATCTTCCCTTCCTCTACCAATTTCTTTAGCTCCACAATCTATCCTATGGTTTAGGAAATTTTAACCATCATGCAAAGTTAGTTAAGACTATAGGCTTAGTGAGGGGCTTGTTAAACATCTATAGGCACCGTCTGAAGTAGCAATGCGGTGTAGAAGTTAGAGATCGATGTGATCAAGTTGGAAGGTAGAGATCTACAACACGGTGTTGATAGTAGAGATCAATGTAGTCTTCCCCAAGGTGGTCGAGGCTTAGCTTCACGACGTTCACGAGCATATTCAGGACTACCCTTTACCTCAAACATTCCTGCCCTGAGGAGTGATCTTCAAGATGAGTGGCTGGTTCAGATCTTATGATTTCTTCATTTTTTCGGGGGCAAAAGCGGAGAGGTTTCACGGGGAAATGATTCACACTCTTCAAACTAATAAAGCACACATCAAAGGACGAAGCCCGTACAATCTAGTTCCATTGTCTTGTTTGAAAGAAAGATATGCAAATTGTTCTTTCAGGAAGAGTTGGAATAGATGTAAGTGCATAGAGGGAAGTCCTAAGAGATTCTTGCTTAGGTGAGGTGTCTTCAAGCTCCATGCGTATTTAGCTACGATAGGATAGATCTCCGATCCGCTGACTTCATCAATGGGAAAAGCATCAGAAATTTCTTTTACATCTTCTTCTGTAAGCTTCAAGGCCAAGGATCCAAGATTGTTGGTCAGATTTTTCACTTTAGTTGTACCTGCAAAGACCAAGAATGGGGATTCGTTGTCAGTTCCTTGTGAATCCCACTTAAATGTGCTTAGTGAAGTTAAAACTTGTGTTTACTTCTTGCAAGGGTAAGCCCAAGAACTATGAGTTGGTTGTACTTGGAGAATAAGAACTATTAGAAGAGAACGGTTGTTTTGACAAGACAATTTTTTTACCAGGGACTGTGATTATGTTAATTCCTTGATGTAGAAGCCATGCAAGCGCTAGTTGAGGAGGAGTGCACCTATGCTTTGTAGCCAGGTTGGCAACCCGTGTATAGAAGACCTTGTTCTTCTGTACATTTTCAGCTGAAAACCTAGGATGACACACATGCTGTCCCAAGAACGTGAGAGCATGGAGTTAGCTTGTTAGAACTCGATCTATACTTTAGAAAGAAGGGTGCTGGAACTACTTGTAGTTGCTCTCACATACCGATAAACTGTCCTCGGGAAAGGTCTCCACAACTGTTTTTCTAGCAAAGAATCCAACGCCAAGCGGACTATATGCAACTAATCCAATTCCAAGTTCCCTGTTCAGCAAAGAAGTAAGAACGATTGTTTCATCACACATATTTCCAATTGTTCTTTTGAGATTTGTGGAGTTAGCCTGGAAAAAAGGACGTACCTGCAAAGTGGGATGATTTCTTGTTCAATGTCACGGGGACCAAAGGGAATACTACATTTGCAGGGCAGAGATGGGATGAACCGCATGGGCTCTCCTGATTGTGGCTGGACTAGGTTCGGATAGCCCTAGGTATTTGATCTTTCCTTCATTCACAAGCTTCTTTAGCTCCCCCATCTGCCTCAAAGATTGAGAAACTTATCAAGTTGAAAGCCACTTGTCGTCATTTAAGCAACAAAAAGGATGCATGAATGAAGTTAGGATTGTCGAATCCATTAGAGTGTCTTCTATGGGGACGAATTGATCTACATGGTGCTGATAGTACATGTCGATACAGTCAACTCCAAGCCGGCTGAGGCTAGCTTCACAGCATTTTCGCACATATTCAGGCCTCCCATTGACTTTATACTCACCAGCCTCGGTTATGTAGAATCCAAATTTAGGTGCCAATTGAATATCCGCTCGAGGAAGCTGCTTCAGAGCCTCAAACCACCTGCCTAAATTGAGTAACTTTCTCTTTTACAAAAACTGAAACACACTTTTTGAACATCATGTCATCTTTGTTGGTTGGTGCAAAGTGTCTTTTTTACCTTGCCAATTATGATTTCGCTTTCGTGATCGTCCCCATAGAGATCAGATGTGTCGATGAAGGTGATACCTCTTTTGACAGCATGGGCAATCAGAGAGCAGGCTTCTTCATGGCTAAGAGGAGCATTCTTCGTTCCAGCGAGGGATGCAGTTCTGAATCCTAGTCTTGATACCTGCAGCCTCATAAACAACCTGATCATGATCAAGCAAAACAACTAGTGTTAAATTAAGCTGCAATCTGCTATTTTCTGGGTTTACCTTCAATCCCTGATTGCCCAGTTTGACTTTTGGAACTTGAGTCTGCTGTGGGTTTTCCATTTTGCAGAGAACAACAAATAGCTTTGGCGATGACAAATACTTCGGTTAGTTTTTTCTGTTGTGTCGGCAAGGGGACTACAAACTAGCATTTTCCTTTGGGGAGAATCTATAAATAATATTAGTTAGCATAATCTCATGTGCCTTTTTCTGTATTTAAAAAGGGGGTGCATTCCTGTCATGTTCCTTTGGGGACAATCTATAAATATTAGTTAGCATAGTCTCATATTCGTCTTATTACAGGTTAGGACCGCAGAAGGCATCCGAAAGCAGTTCCAATACATTGGACAAGGAGGAAAACCCAAAGTTGCATACATAAAAACAACTCACGATACCACAAGATTAATTAATTGGTTCAGACTCAGTCAACAAACTATTTACTTGGAAATACATGTTCGACATGGGTATATTATACCTAAGATAACCAGGTTTAGATTCAGAAGCTCTCATTCCTTCACTTCTTTGGCGGTGTATATGCAAACTGCCAACCAAATTTGGCAAGGACAGGCACCTCACTCGACCCGCTAACTTCATCAACCGGCACTGCATCACAAACTTCGTTTACATCCTGAGGTGTAGGCTTCACGAGCAGGCTCCCAATGTTGCTATCGAGATTCTTCAGTTTCGTAGTCCCTGAACATTGTAAAAGAAGAATATTCATGACTTGAACTGGAGACTCTGTTAGCAGGCTCAAAAGATGTCAGGCTTTTAAAGAAAAAGTACCAGGGATGGGGACAATGTAATTTCCCTTATGCAGAACCCATGCAAGAGCTCGCTGAGAAGCAGTGCAGGCATGCTTTAAGGACAAATTGGAAACTCTTGAATAGATTGCTTTGTTCTTCTCTAAACTAACCGTTGTGAACCTTGGATGTGTCTGCAATCACGAACATAGCAAATCTCTTAGTTCAGCATCGCCTTTTGATTCTCAATCGTAAAGCTTGATTCTGAAGGAGTATTTTCAAAATAATTAATAAGTTTCAACTCACCAATAGACTTCCACTGGGCAGGCTCTCTGTAACTGCTTTTCCGGCAAAAAACCCATGACCAAGAGGACCGTAACTCACTGTGCCAATGCCAAGTTCACTGCCAATTAAAAAGAGTAAGTTGTGTGAGCATAATCTTAAGGCAAGAAAGAGACAATTTCCCTTCCTCAATCGACTAGATTCTTCCAACAAGTTCAAGGCCACAACAGGAAGCATAAAAACTAGGTGAAAAGATAAAGCTAGACGTGGATCAAGAATATATATACCGGCATAGAGGAATGATCTCTTGTTCAATCTCCCTGCTCCATAAAGAGTATTCCATATGCACTGCAGTAATGGGATGAACAACGTGTGCTCTCCTGATCGTATCAGGATTTGCTCTGATAATCCAATGTACTTCACCTTCCCTTCATTCACCAGCTTCTGCATCTCCTCCATCTATATCTCAATTAACAAAACAAACCCAGACAAAGTTGAGTTCTGCGATTAAGCCTTGCAAGTAAAGCAAGACATGGGAGCCCTAAGTGTTTGAAAACGTTACAGTATCCTCGATTGGAACCGAAGTATCAACACGGTGCTGGTAATAGAGATCAATGTAGTCCACTCCAAGGCGGGTAAGGCTAGCTGACACGCTACGACACAACTCCTAACAAAGGCTAAGTGTAACCAATGAAAGGGACTGCAGTATAGTGGCTCAAGTAATAAATATCGAATCCATGGGTCTCTAGAGTTACTATTACTCAACTTCAGTTCATTATCTAGCAAACCAGATTAAGATGAAAGAACTAAAATACTCTAGCAAACTATAGTTAAAGTTAATCTAATTACAGGTTGGGAACTCACTTAGGTATGATTCCCCCTAGCCACTAGCCAGATTAATGATTGATGATCTCTAACCTGTTTCACTTTCATTCACAATGCGGAGAATCCTTAACTAGACCTTGAGTCTCGACTAAAGGAACAAGGCCCTCTTGAGTCAATTGCCTAGAGGGACGTATCCTTCTCTAGAACAACCGATCAAGGCGTTCTGAACTAGACTCCCTCTATCGACAGAGGTTCTCAATCGATACAAAGCAGTGAATCAACCCTCGACTAAAGCAGTCGATCCACTACTATCAATCTATGATGCTCTATTGACCTAATCAGGTATTCGCTCTCATAGGATCAAAGCAGAGAATCAATAATCTTGACTAAAGCAGAATTGAATCATGAAAACATGCATAGATTGATATGAACTCAAGATTATCAAGTAAGAGTACTCATACAATCATCCAATCAAACAAACATGGCTAGGATTCCTCAAAACCTAAGTGAAGGGAAGTTACTCCATAGAGAAGAGAGAGACTGCAGTAAGAATCTTCAGATGATCAGTCTTCAAGTCCGGGATTGTCCTCGAGCTTCCAAGGTGAAGAAATCCTCCAGCTCCACTCCAAGAATGCCCTCAAATCGCCCTCTCACTCTTTGGTTCGTCCCTTGGGTGTTTGGGATCCAAAACCCAGCTCTCCCCATCATTTGGCTCGAAACTGGGTTAAAAACCCATAATTTCCGGACCACACGGCCCTGTGGCTTTCCATTCTGCCACTGTGGATGTCAAAACACCGCATTTCGATTAAGTGACTTTCAGTCATCCTACACAGCCACAACCACACGGCCGTATGGATTTCCAGGCTGCCCGTGTGAGTTCCCTGGAATTTCCACACGGCCATATGGGTTCCCTTACACGGCCGTGTGGGTTTTAGGCATGCCCGTGTGACTTCCTCAGCTTCTCGCCAAACGTCTGATCGACCCCGAACTCGTTCCTAAACCTTCATTCACGTACTAGGACCTGAAATATCACAAACAAGAACAACCTAGCGTGAAATCGACCTAAAACACGAGAGATAAGACTAAACGGTGTAAGAATGGTGGACAAAAACATGTGTATATATCAAGTCATCACTAGCTTTGCAACATTCACACACATATGCAGGACTACCCTTTACGTCAAACTTCTTATCTTCACTTAAAATGATTCCAAATTTTGTTGCTAGTTGATCTTCTTCTCTAGGGAGCTCCTTTAGAGCATGCCAAATGATAACAAACAAACACACTCAATCTTTGCAACTAGATAAACTCATCTACCAACAACTGAAGAAAAGCATTGGATTCAGTAATTTTCACAACCTTCCCCAACATGATTTCATTATCATGATTCTTTCCATAAACATCCGATGTATCGAAGAAGGTCACACCTCTATGGAAGGCGCTCTTCAGAAGTGAACATTCATCTTCGTGGATTAGGGGATCGTTTAGCAGCCCAGATAGCCCTGCACATCCTAACCCTAATCTAGAAACCTGAAAACAGACAGAACTTGCAGGAACCTGACTTCACCTATTCATGTTAAACTCAAAAGCCAAGCTGCTAAACTTGCCAAACATACAGAAGAGTTTCTTCAACCCTCAAAATGTTTCAAATGTCATGATATAAAACATTAACTTTACCTCCAATCCTTGACTGCCTAGTTTCACTTTCGGAATTCTAACACTAGGTGTATCGTTCTCCATGTCAGTGCTTTGAGCACAGCTTTCTCACTGTCGCTCAATTGGGAAGTGTAAGAATGGCGTTCAGGAAGGCTTATCTGAAAGCTATAAATTAATCAAAATTGGTCGGAGTCTTCTTTTCAGATCAAAATTGCGGATAGCCAGAAAAGGGAAGACGGTGAAACGACACCGCTTCATAGCTAGCGATTTTCTTAATTTTTCGTCTTCCTTCTACAATTAATGAATTTTGTTTTAACCGGTTAATAATTTACTTTCACCCAGATTATTACCGTGGTTTCCTTCTTTTCCGCCGCAGTAAGTTTCCAGAATTCCAATCTAAAAACTAACGGGAAATCCGAGTTGCTTCGCATCAATAAACCAGCCATAGACCGGGGGAAGAAAAGAGGCAGAAACTCGAGAGAAATGGAGATGAAGCAGATCTACGTTCTGGCGGCTCTTTTGTTGAGCTTCGTCGCCCGAATCTCTTCCCTCTCCATCACCGTCAACGACGTCGAGTGCGTCTACGAGTATGTCTTCTACGAGGGAGACGCCATCTCCGGTAACTTCGTGGTCGTCGATCATGATATCTTCTGGGGCTCCGATCACCCTGGCATCGATTTCACTGTAACTCAATTCCCTGCCATTTATGATCTCTGCGTTTTTTCTCTAGTTTCATTTCTCTACAACCTTTTTTAATTTTCTCGTCTAGGGTTAAGGAAATTGTGGCCATATTGTAGGTAATTAGGGTTATAGTGAACGTTTTCCCAATTATCAATGAAGATTAAATCCCCATTTGTTGCTTCCCTATTGCGACCCCACCAGGAACGTAGCTCGAACAGTGAAGTTGTATCTGTTTCATCTTTGGAATAGGGCTGTTAGACTCTCAATTCCGGATTGACAAACCCTAAATGTTGATATCTTGTTACATTTGGCTCTGTAACTTAACGGTGTTATGGTTCCCTCATTTCTCTATCTTGCATCAAATAAAGTTTGATTGTGTTTTTGTTTCATGGTCAGGTTCCATTGTTTAGAACAGCTTCTAGAGCTGCCCCTGTTGGGTTCTTTCTTCCCTAGACAGTCGGAATCATATTTATATAAAAAGATGTTGGCTTTTTATCTCATGTAGGTCTCGTCACCTGGAGGAAATGTTGTGCACAACATAAAGGGGACATCTGGGGATAAGTTTGAGTTGAAGGCACCAAGGAGCGGGATGTACAAATTCTGTTTTCACAATCCTTTCTCCACGCCAGAGACAGTGTCGTTCTATATTCATGTGGGCCATATTCCCAATGAGCATGATGTTGCAAAAGATGGTTGGTGGATCTCTCTCTCCTGTTAATCATGCATGTCTGTGATTATGGATTGTGGAAGGGCACTCATTGTGTGGTTGCTTTGCTTGTTAACTGAAACTGGTTATGGTCTTATGGAGCCTAATGGCCATGATTGTCTGATGGCTTCAGAGTTGAGGCGAGTTTAGAGATCATATGTTGTAGGCTCATATATTAACATGGTTTGTGGCTTGCAGAGCATTTGGACCCAATTAATGTTAAGATTGCTGAACTGAGAGAGGCATTGGAATCTGTTACAGCAGAACAGAAATACCTGAGGGCACGAGACAATAGACACCGACACAGTAAGCTGCTGCCTTTCCTGTCATTTTCCAAAATTCTATAACCGAAGTAACTCTTATATAACAAAGCTTTGGATTCTTCTATATATGATGTTTATGAATGTACTGCGCTGGTATAATTTGTTCCAGAAAGAAGGAATACCCGATGGGTGTATTTACTGTTAAACTTCAGCTTGTTGATGGTTCACTTTTTCACTGTTACAAATTGAATATACAGAAGCTGTAAATTGATTTACAATCTGGTGCTAGTAGCTCTGTTTAAGTAATTTAGCTAGCATTGTGTAAGTAACTTATCTAGCTCTGTTTCTTCTGCAGCAAATGAGAGCACAAGAAAGCGTGTTATTGGCTACACGGTTGGAGAATACATTTTGCTGGCTGCCGTGAGCTCACTCCAGGTGTTGTACATCCGCCGACTCTTCAGCAAGTCAGTGTCGTACAATCGTGTTTAAGTGGGGTTCAATCGATCTAAGTTATTGTCCATTAAGTAATGAGTTAATAGAGGAAACTAGTAGAGTAATTTAGAAAAATGTATGTTTTATACAAACAGAAACCAGCTGGGTCTTTTCTAACTATTGCAGTTTTTGCATCCTAATGATGAAGCTCTTCGTGGTCACTCATGTTCAACTTAGCATAATAATCTACTAGACTTTGATGCATATTCAAGTTTCAAAAAGAATTCCCAGCTCTCTTTAACTTCAGCAGAGGATTGTATTCCCTGCTCCATCTCCATGGTCATGCTGCTCAAATATCGACTTAAGATCTAGAAAATGCAATTGTACAGAGCATAGAAGAAAATGTGATGATGGCGAGGTTTATGTGCTTAGCACAGCGCTGTACAGCTGGTTAGTAGAGATGTTTGTGCTGCTCAAGTATCGACATAGGATCTAGAAAATGGAGTTGTACAGGGCTCAGAAGAAAATGTGATGATGGCCAGGTTAATGTGCTTAGCACAGCGTTGTACGGTTGATTAGTAGATGTTTGTATGCTTGGTATAATCACAAAAGTTTTATCGTCAAACTTGTGAGCTTAGGTTGGGATTGTTCAATAGACATTCATTTGTTATGATTCAAATCATAATGATATGAGAATCATCAATAATGATCGAGGATAGTCATTAGTAGTATCCACTGATAACATCTTACTTCCTATAAATTTAACGAAAAGTGAATTAGACCATCCTCAAACTAGTAGGAGTGGGCGAGAAACTGCATACTCGAGTCTGATAATCAATACTTCAGTACCAACATATACTTTCATATATAAACCTACTACGGCTTTGCAAGCAAGAATTTCAAGCCTCTCCATCACAAAAGTCTAACGATCGATCAATCCTGCCCAACCAAAAAAAAAAGTGTCCTAAACACCGGCTTTGAAGATTCTTTGAAATTAAGATGGTTCGTACATAAGCCAGAAGGAAGCAGTAGCGAGTTTGATCCACGATAGATACATCAGCTACAGAGTAGGAACGACCTGGATCATCTCTCATTTAGGGTTCCTGAGCACAATGATGACTGAATCGCCTCGCAGAAACATTTTACTAATGAACCTGTCCTTGTTCACTGGTTGTGCCTTCTTCTTGCCCTTCCCTGTTTTAGGCACCTGATGTGATTTAAAGGATGCAGCAGAGATGAAATTATTATTTGACAATAGAAGTCTGAACTTTGAGAGCACTGATTATATAAACCCTTGTATTGTTAGCAAAAACACAACCAACTAACCTCAGTCCACATCTCCCTGACGTTTTCCAATACCATGTTGCAGTGACGGTCAAATGCCCTCACACGCCCAAGAAGCTTCTTGTTGTTCCTGCAGTTTATCAGCACCTGTGCATGCATTCCCAAACAAAAATTAAGATAAAAATGCCAGTAGTCAACAGAACAAGAAAACAAAATGAAAATAACTCAATCCAACTTATGTTTACATCCAAACAGCCATTATCTTTTGAGATAGAACGCTAAAGTATTTATTTCCCTACTCGCTTACAACAGAAGAGGTCATTAAAGTCACAAGTCAAGATGTTAACAAGAATCTACCTGGGTGTTATTCTTCACACTCATCATAAGAACAGAAAGTGGACCTGTGCTGAATTCTTCCTCCTTGCCCTGTGCAAAATAAGCAACAAAAGATAAGACAAAACAATACTCATGGTCAAATAAAAACACATGTGACAAAGTCGCTAGTCTTAGGCATAATTGATAGTTGCAAGTGTATACCACACAGTTCCACACCAAAGTCTATATTTTAGTGCAAAGTATGAAATTGTTTGCACCAGAACAGATCTCTTATAATAGACTGTTGCAGAAGCCTAAACAATAAACACCCAGAAAGTGTGGTAGGAAAGTATAGGTTAGCAGTAACGATCATCAGGAACTAGTTGTTGCCCAAAACAAGTTACATTGACTCATAGCAGGTCAGATACAGTGGAAAAAGTTCAACCTAGAGACATGCTATGGAAGTACCGGTAAATATCTTAAAAGAGTACGCAGCCTCTCCTATCATATTCTCTCCGGCGACACCAGTTAGAGAAAAGTGGCCTCTCCTATCATATCCTCGGAATTGCTATAACTAGCTCCAATTCCGTAGAATTTAAAATTTAGAATTGAAAATTAATTCTTTTAAATACCAAACACAAAAAGATTTCATTTCAAAATGAATTCCACAAAACTTATGGAATTCATTTATACCAAACAGTATGTAATAGCATATACCAAACACAAGAATTCATTTGACAATGAATTCTACACATGAATTCATTTTAAAACAAATGAATTCTAAATTCATTTGGTACCAAACAGTCTGTTAATATTAGTAGAAAACTAAACATCGATCGGTTGAACAAAATTGCATTGTTGCACAAAGTACTCTGAAATCACTGTCAACTGATTATGGTTAATGAAATCGTCATGAAAAACCAAACTTAATTTACTTCCCTATAGGTGAAAGGTCTAAGCCTAATTCCTCATTAGATAGAAGGGGGGAAAAGATTATTCAAGACAAACAACCAGGAAAGATTCATCTCTGGTAGAAAAACATAGATTTTGACACAATAGAATGAAACGAATTCGGGCACAAGGCATTAGGAGAAGCAATATTTAAAGCATAACAATATTTTATTAAGGCAACAAGAACTTACTGGAGCATCCTCTTCCATTGGTCGACTGCAAAAAGATCATCAAACCAAAAGGCAAAACTGTCACTATGCTAATCTACACGAACTGTGCAGGAAGTAATTCGAAAACATGTACTGAAACTAACAACCAGCTCTGAACACTAGATTGAAGAAAACAGCTACGCAGGTCAAGACACCCGAACTTTAGTATTTTTGTTCAATGAAAGGTGGACAAACAAGTTCAGCACAAGACTGACTAACTTAGCAAGTACCATTTTTCACTAATTAACCCAATAAGAAAAAGCTAGCAGTAGATTCAACCAGTAAGATAATTAACATCTAGTTCGGAGGACGACTATCAAATTTGGGGGATAAAAGCTAAAATTCGATCAGGCCCCCAAGCAGACAAATCTGAAACATCATAACGAGCTATCTACATTGCTAGAGTTCTCTCCACGTTAACTAGAAAAAGAATGGGGAAGCTCGAAACTTACCTCATGGTGGGTTCAGTTTCTTCTTCGCGCTGTTCAAGAAACCTGCAAACCGTAAGGAAAATTAGGATTCAGCTGACGATACGAGAAAGAGACCGAGCAAACGAAAAAAAAGAAAGGATATAAGACGAACTCACAGACGGAAATACAGAGCTAGGGTTTCGCGGGAGGTTTTGAGTTCGTTGCCGGGTTGTACAGACACAGATCGAATTCTGCGTACGGGGAAGCAAAAGGAGCCGCTCCCGATTTTAATTTTAAATTTCAATTCCATATTTTTTGTTTTATTTGTGAAGCCTGTTGGAAAGAATTATGGGCCGCCGAAATACTCGGCCCAGCATAGCGTTGTTATTAGCCCATCACCAAAAATGGTACACATAACTAGCTTGGTGCCCGGCCATTGACCGGGTATATTACTATTATTATTAATTATTTAACTCAATATTTAGTTAGTCAAATATTTTATGTTGATTCAATTTATCGGTATTTGTAATATTTGTGTTTCTAGTATGATACTCATCCTAATTTCATGTAACCTTTGATACAATATCAATGAGATTTTCGACTCAAAAAATTCTTTATGCAGTCAATAAATTTGGTCCACGATGTAAGATCCTTATTCATGTTGCTTTGTAAAGGTAGTTAACTCTTAATGTTCAATAAAGTTTCATTTTGTGTACTACTCGATTTTATGTTTAGCTACTAATCAAATATGGTCATATATTCCCAAAAAACTATAGTTTAGACGCTGGTTTGTGTGGCTTTTTTGTTCATGGGCTTCTTTTTCAAAGTTTGTAATTAAAATTTATGATTGTATCTGATAATGTTTTCGATTTTTTCAACTAATGACAAAATTATCAAATAATTAATTCGTGATGAGTATGATTCAAAAAATCATTATGCCTAATTTAGTTGCTTTTTTGTTCTTTAAAAAAAATAATTTTGGTTTAAATTAAGTATTACGATGTTAGATTAGATTTTGAGTTGACACATCGAAGCTCGAGATGCCAAGTGTATAAAAAAAATTGATATGTAAAATAAAAAGACGAAGATGAGATTAACCTATAAAAAAGGGCAAGTCATTATTTGTAGGTAGTTTTTTTTTTCAAACGGCCACACATTATAAATATTAAACATTAAATTAAAAAATTATAAAAGGAAAAATAGAGAAATTTGTGGTTTCCGCATGGAAGGAGTTACTTTCTAAAGTGAAAATGAGTTGTGATTGGTTAAAAGGATGCTGACGTGAAGCGTGAATGAAGAGTAAATTTGAAATAGAGAAACCTTTAATGGGAAAACTTATAATATCTACTATACATATAATACGCTGAAGGGGAAAACAGCTTCCCCATTTCAAAATCTCTGCCTCCAGAGCGTTTTGCGGAGGGGCAATTATGGAAAGTGCATATTTTACGGCCCGCACACGTGGATCTTAACGGGCTTACTGATTGTAAGAGGCGACGAAGAGAAAACTGTTCCAGCGACTCGGAATAAACTTCGCAGAGTTCTCTCTCACTGAATGTCCATTCCCCCGCCGCACCGACTGTCCGCTGCAAAGCAGCCGCTGAGTGACTCACAACAACCTCATCGCCTGTAGCCACCCCGTACACTGACTACGATTGGGCGAAGTGCTCTATAGGTAAGGTTTTCCTCTACCTTCCCCTCTTTCGGCTGCGCCAATTTGTTTTGAATTCTGTCCCAATTGGCCTCATATTCGCTTGACCCCTGAACAGCGCCGGCTAGAAGTTTGAGCCATATCAGTTCTCTAACCCAGGCTCTTGATTTCTTCTCTGTCTCCTGCCATCCGTCAACCGGAAATCTCCATCCGCTTCCGCCTATTGAAACCAGGCACAACTGTTCTCAACCACCCACCGCAGTGTTCCCTTTAGATTAGCGTGGGTATCAACATCACCACCACTAATTACTTAATTAGCTAACGAACACTACCCATACCCAAATAAACTCTCCCTGATTCATCCTATGTGTGTGATTCTTTTAGCTATAGTTGTTTAGGTTTCTGTGCATTAAGAAATTGTTGATTAGAAATATGGCCCGCATGAGATTTTTTCCTTCTGGTTTGGGATTGCAATTTGCCCGCGTGCTTCCTTTGCTTTATTGAATGTTGAATTCTACTACCTCGAGCAACCTGTGATCCTTCTGTATGGTTAATCTACCCAGACCATTTTCCCCAACTAAAATAGAATTATCATGCCTTTGATGAATTAGTCCCGTTAGTCGTTTTTCCTTTCATTATGTAGATATGCCATTCCCATTCGTTCCCATCCATTCTTGGCTGTAATTTCTCCTCCCCTTCTCTCCGTTTAAGAAGAATAATTTGGTCACTCAAAAATAATAATAATTTGGTGATCTAATAAAATCTCGAACTTGGGAATGCTTGGGAGCTTTATCTTGATGAATTTGAATTTGGGTTGAATTACAAAGGTCAACATTTAGTGTAGCAGTACAATGCAATGCAAAAAGGTGGGAATATTTTTATACACGTTGCAGTGTAAGTTGTGGTGCCGCATTGTATTGGTTTTTCCCCATAAGTTTGATACATTTTCAGGACTCTTTTCTTGCAGTCAAACTTTTCAGAACACACTTTTTGGTTTCATGTTAGTGGTAGCCAATTTCAATTTGCTACTGCAAATAGCATCAAAATTCATTGCAAGCTGCACTATATGCAGTTCAGGTCTCCTGATTTGACAGAGACAAATTTTGCTGAATCCAATAAGGTGGGTTATTGTGGTTGTATAAGGTTTTTGTTGACAGTATCATAATTCTAGCACTAATTGTTTTAAATAAGATTGGCAAAGAAAATGCAACACCTGCACTCAAGAGCTACAAGAGGAAAGCTCCTGGAATCTCAGAAAGCGATGAATAGAGAATTGCATTCTACATACACTATCAGAACAATTAAGTTGATTCCTTCTTTAGCTCTTTGCAATGAATTAAGTAGTGGATGTTTTTGCTTATAATGGTATAGTTGTTTGATTACAAGACAGTAGTTAGATGATTTATGCTTTCAGTCAATTTGCAGTGTCTTACTGTGTGGAACCGTTAATGTTATATAGTTGTTTGTGGGAAATATATTGACTCTTTTGATTATTAGGATAATCCAGTTATCTCTTTATGCACAATCACTTGGAATATCATACCTCAGGTTCGGGTATACGAACTTCTGTTATTATCCTTGCAGGAGTTGGTTCCCTCTAAATGGCCATTTTATTTGGTTGTTGCTTTTTCTTCTTTCACCTTAGGATCTTCAAATAACATAATGAAACCATTAAAATCTGGAATTTGTTGTTGTTGCTCCAATTCATTTGCCTTACAGTCTGTTTTGGCTCTTTCAATCATTGCTTCCCATCTTGGAATTAATAGTGGTAATTAATATGCATGAGATTTGGAAGTATGATTTTTGAAGAACTGGACAACATCATGAACAACTCTTAAGTTGCAAAACTGAATCCACGAATATGGTGTGGTTGTATTCTCTTAAGTTGCAAAACTAAATTCATGATGTTGTAGAACTGAATGCGAGGACAACTTCATACTCAGTCAATAGAGTATATAGGCTTTATTCTTAATTGTTTATGTCTACTCTTAAGTTGCAGAATCATAGGTTGCATGATTACTTGAACTGAGACCACAATTTGCACGATTAGCATTTGTATAATGCAGACTCCTTCAGTAGCTTGAATTAAGCTCCCCATAGTCTTATTTTTTCCACTTGGATTTTGTGGATTTTGATAGCTAAGTTCGCCAGTAAGAGTTTCTGTTATGAGTGAGTAGGTTTCATCGATTGGACAATAATTATTCCTCAACTAATTGTTGATAGTTCCTCACTCGAATTGTCTTATGATGTGATTAGAGGGCAAAGAAGGTTTAAGTGTAGAAGTACTCCTGTTTAGGGTCTTCCAGAGACTCACTTGGGGGAGTTAAGGTTACCTCATTAGTTATTATCGTCATTGGTTGAATAATAATCATTACACTCATGCAAGTATGATAATCGTTTAAGATGGATTTGCATTAAATATCCCCTTCAAGTCTTTGTTTTAACATGCAAATGCACAACCAAATAGTAAAAATTGTTACGCTGTAATTTTATTTTGTTGGTTCATTAGTATTGGTCCTATTATGTTTGGCTTATCCTAGGTGTTTGTATGTTTTGTGATGTATTGTTGGAAAATCGTGTTGAGATCGCTTAGTTGCCTATTGAACTCTATCATTGTGGTTGGCTGGTTGGTGTTTGAGGGAAGTGTACGTATCTTTTGCTGATATGGGTTTTGATGAATTAAAGTTTGTTAATTGTCAACTGTTCCAGGGAGGTTATGTGTTTGGGTTAGTTTGAGTCATACCTGTTGCTTCTTTTTCCCTCTGTCCAGTTTATCTTTTCTTTTATTTGTCTTTTTCTTATATCCTTGAATGAGTATTCAGATTTGAAGAGTTTAAAGAAAGGTGGTGTGCAGTTGTTTGAGTAATGCAGTCATAATTCACAAGGCATGCTGAATTTGTTATATAAAATGATGAAATTCTTCAAAGTAGAATCACTGAATCGGTTTCTTCAACTCCACACTTTCCTTCAACATCAGATGCTCTTCATGTTTTTGTTGTGTTTACATAATGTTATGCCCTAAAAAATTATGGCCCTTGGTGACGCTTGGCTTCCTAATGTTTCTTTCATGCACTTGGTGATGCGGGATTGGAAGGTTCACATAGGGTTGTTCAGTTCTCTGTTGAGGCCCAAATTGGTCACAAAGGACCAAGTGTTTTTTTTTGTCAACGTCTCTCTATGAAACTTAGAGTATACCTATTTTGACCTAAGATTCTCACTATATTACTAAACATGATTACACAGGTTTGGTGTTGTTTCTGCTTTCATTATCAAAATTTCCATGATTTGCTTATGTTGGGGTTTTTTGTTCATTTGTTCCTCCGTATGCAGGTGAGAGTTGATATCTTAGTATATAGGTTGTTGGCCAGAGAACTTCCTCTTGTGTACGTTCGCTTACTCAACAAGGCGATTATCGAATTTGGTGGCTCGCTTGGTGGTTAGGGATGTGGGTTTTTTTTTTGGAAGAAGGTTTAGGCTGTGTTGACACACTTAAGACGAGCCTCGAATTTTCCATTGGACGTCTTTTGTATTTCACAGCAGTCTATAGAGATTACATGGTGCATTATACTCTTGGGAGTTCTCTTTCACGTTGCAAGCTTCTTTGTCTATGTTTTCTCTTAGTTTCTTATTGGTCTAATTAGCTTACTCATCATTATTTA